GCAGCAGATCATAGACAAATAGCAAAATACCTGGTTCAGATCAGCTCTACACACTAAAATACCTACTTATCAGTATATCAGTAGTAGTAGTTTCTTGTTATCATTTCAAAGAGCTTTTAAAAAGTCCAGTAGTACTGGCAACATCTACCGACATGTCCATACTATCCAAACATCAAAATAATATTCTCCAATCCCCAATTTGCCGGTAATCTAAATAACACTCTCTGACCAGTGGCCGGCGGTAGTATATTTATATTCCGCACGCTCCCGAGGGATTTCAATTGTCAAAACCTTCACAATCCAGTTAAGGAGAAGGGTGCGGTTATTTTTATTTCGATTTTGAGGATCTGAGTGAGTGAATGATCTTGGTAGATACAAATTGAAGAGTCAGAGTGATCTCAAATCAAAGATGATACTTAATACATATTTTATACGACTAAAGTGACATCAGATATTGAGTATCAGTTGTTACAGTTGTTTGTTTTATATTAAAGATTAATTAAAAAACATAATATTTCCTATATTAAAGCAAAACGATGGTGTTTGAAGTAATAAGAAACGTTCCGCTGCTGGGATTCATTCTAAAATAATTACTTCTATAACCAATAAGATTTTTGTAGAACCTTCACTATTTTATGTAACTAAATAAACATAAATACAACAGACAGCAATTTCATCATAAGCTGGCACATTCATAAGACTTGCAATAAAAAGCGGCTGCGCGTGCATCCATTATTCAATACCATTAACTTTGCAAGTTTCAAAATTCTCAAGCACCTATTTATTACGTTCTCAACAAACAACTCTAAAATTATGCCGCATACGTGCCCTCATGCCCCATAAAGAAAGCACACGGGTTATGCACGAAAATGATATAACCCAAGATTTTCGATTTTCTTGTCTCTCGATTTTTTTGTCTATCAAGTACTACCTACTAACCAAAAGTACAGCCCTAAATTCGAATTTGAATCGTGTTTTTATTTTAGAATCTTCTTGTAATGCATTTTTAAATACTGTATTTGACAGCAATCACGACAATTTGTGTAAAGTTAGCACGTTTTAGCATTGTAATATGTTGTGAAAAACAAATATAAATAACCCTCCTTATGGCGCAGTCGGGTAACAATTTTACTATAACTGGAAAAGTGAGGGTTTTCCTAAACTTATTTTTCTTGTGTTACGACATTTTTCCCGTGAACGTACTTACGATATAGTCGTACAGTCGTAACTCGTAAAGTATAAATGGCATTCAAATGCGATGTTATTTCGCCGCCAACACACGGTAATTTATTTCCGCGGGCTTCATAATTTTCTTTTATTCACTTTATGTTGATTTCCCTTAGAGTAAGAGCGGGTAACGATAATATTATTTCAAGGGCCCCATGACTCATGGGATGTTGTTCCTTGCTGTTATGCGTTAAGGGTGTCTCTGGATTGGTGGTAATTAAATAATTTGTTTGGATTGGGTTAGATGGTTTAGGTGGTAAGTGTATTAGAGTTGAGAAAACTGAACTAAACTCTACTAATATATAAAATGAAAAATGCAAATAAATCTACCTACTAACCTAAAACAAGGATATTTTTCTGAGCCACCACTTATGAGATTTTTTCGTTTTCTTTTCCAAATAACTGTTTTACTGTGTGGGTATACTGTTTTGTATAAAATTTTGGCGGTTAAAGTTAAGAAAAGTGGGCATATAGCACTCTATCATAAAAAAATCTTGACTAATCTTGATAAAGTCAATGAACTTTATTTCTCTAAACCTAAACCTGAGCCACCTAATTTAGTTTTCACGTTCTATTTCCAATTAATTTCTTTATACTAGGTATTCTACGAGTATGGATTTGAAAGATATTTTTACTTATTATGTATTCAGTTTTGTATGAGTGTTACCTTTGATTTTTCAAAACCCCTCTTGAACCGAGCGTTGGTAAAACGTTATCTGCATTTTAATAAAACGTTGTCGAGTGTTTACACATGTATCCCCGATGCAAAGTTCAAGTCGTTCAATAAAGCGGCATGCGGGGCGATTTTCGCGCTTTGGGAGGAAAACATACGGGTAGTTATTTTGGAATGGCACACTTAGGGAAAAATAAGTTTTTGGTGAAAAATGTACTCAATACTCAATACTCAATTCTTTATTGCATCCATAATGTTACAGAGGTGGTATGTATGGTTTTATAAGATACAATTATGTACCCTGTCGGGCACAGCATTCTAAGAGAGGGGAAGAATTTATAAATATTTAATTAATTCAATTATATTATTAATTATATTATTAGTTATTAATTATTTATCACAATAGGTATACAATTAATTTAATAATTGGTATTACTATTACATATAACATATTATTAATTTTGTACTTAGATTATTTTATGGCTTTGTACTTAGATTATTTTACATGTAGGCTCCAGTTGGTTTATTTTGTGAATAAATGATTGTGTTGAAAGGGTTTGCAATAAATAATTACTGTTTTATGAACTCATATTTATTGTAGCTAGAGCTAGGAAAATAGATAAGTACTATAAACAAATACTTATACATTTCAGTCATACTTTCAACTATTGTGTTACTCAAACAGGCCATTAATTCAAAGGCACTTACATTTTTAAACTAAAATAAATGCCTATACTTACATTGTTACAGTAAAATAATGGCAGATTTGAGTAACAATTGAAAATATGATATTATTTCCCATGAAAATATTTGTCATTAGAAAATTAAATCTGACTAGGTACTACTGAAAAGAGCCCGAGACTTCCTATTTTAGCAGTGGGACGTGTTATTTCAGTCCCACGTTACATAAACGACGCGTTTCCTGACGTAATAGACGCCTGTATATTCCAACGCTATAACGTCGGCAGCGTTAAGCTGAATATTATGAGACGATGGCCGTCGCAGGTGCCGCTAAACATCCAAGTTGAGGAGCTGAGCGTGTCAGTCACGTCCTGGGTACGACAGTAAGTACAATTCGAATGTGCAGAGAGATTTTAGAGGAAAGAGAGTCTAAAATGCGGTTTGTTTTCAATTTGTTACTTAAAGAAATAAAACAAGTAAAAGGTTCATCATCATCGTCATAGGACGTCCACTGTTGAGCAATCCGGTTGCTGAAGATTTTTCATATTATTTCTGACATTTACTTTTATTGTTTTAAGCTTTCATGGCGCTTGCAACAGTGCCGAAATATCGGAAACTCAAAATTAAGGTACGTGGTAGCAATCCCGTCAGTAATAATAATTATTTTTGACATATTGCAATGAATATTCATAAAAAATTAAGTATATAGATTAGGCGACTGTTTATTGTTGAGAAAGCGATATCTAGTGACACCGAACAGTCGTCCGAAAAGATTATAGTACGGTTTAAAAGTCTCAACTGAGACCATTAAATTATTTTAGGAAAAATATTGAATTACTTAACTACCTAAATGGGAAATTCGTCTGACAATTTAATAAAAAGGAACCTTGCATACACACTTCTCCTCATAAGCTTATGAAAACAACCATAACTTACGCACATCGGTATGTTCGCAACTTCTAAACCCTTGTTTTATTTCCTCTGTTTCCGAAATTCCTGATTTTATCAAATCCACCAAGCAAACACCGATCGGGAGGATGTGCTGAGATTTGCGAACACAGGATAAATTGACCGGTAATAATAAAGCCACAGTTTAAGAGAACACAGTAGGTTAACTGACCGCTAGAGATTTAAAAGGCAACCGTTACTGGCAGACCTATTAACTCACAGCTTAAACCACTGAATGGATTGCACTTTATATGTTTTTTAAAATTAGTTTCACACAGGTATATAGGAATGTGTATGGAAAAATTACTCACATGAATTATCAAGGAGATGGCTGGCAGCGGCTAGATGAAAAAAGTAGTAGATCGGGCTTTGAGGCGTTCCTTGGCGGAAAATGGTTTCCACGCCGGTCTTCCACTAGGCTTGCCTCATATTGTTTACTGCCTGAAATAAAATAAAAGAGTATAATAAAATCCTTAAAGACTTTACCTTGTTACCTTCTATATAGAATAAAGCACACAAATACTGGTAAAGTTTTATTCATAATAGATAGCAAAAGGATTACTTATAGGTCTAAGTATAATCACATAGAGCCTTGTATTTCTTCTATGAAATGACATTAAAGAAGTTTTTGCCTTTTAGAGACAGCTTTGCGCATCGTATCTCTGTGGTATCCGTAGTAGTGAGATTGAATTGACCCACTGCACCCATTTGCACTGTGATAAAAACGTAAAGGGTAAGAATGTAGATGCTATTTAGATAATTGTTGGCCCCGTCCGCCGGGCAGTGTATTGGAAAACTGAGCAGATAGGGGGTTTATGGGCACCTAAGGCGGTCATCAACCGACTTCAAAAAAGGAGGAGGTTCTCAATTCGACCCGTATGTTTTTTTTTTTTTTTTTTTTTTCTATGTTTGTTACGCGATAACTCCGCCAATTATGAACCGATTTGAAAAAATCTTTTTTCGGCGTATAGGTAATACTTCAAGGGTGGTCCCATTTAAATTTTATAATAGAAAAAACAACCCCCAAGGGTGGAAAATTGGGGATGAACTTTTTTATACGCAATATCTCCGCCGATTATAAATCAATTTGAACGATTCTTTTTTTGTTGAATAGGTATTATCAAAAGGGTGGTTTCATGCGAATTTGAAGAAAATATTTCACCCCCAAGGGTGGAAAATTGGGGATGAACTTTTTTATACGCAATTTTTTTAATTTTTAGTTTTTTTTTGTGTTCACGCATTTGAAGTCGGTTTTATTTTTTTAAAAAGTTAATTATTAAAAAAGTTGTGCTTTAGAATTATTGGGAAATGGTGTCAAATACCCAATTCCTAAATTCTAGAAGTACGTTTATTGTACTGAAATTGTCAATAATGTTATTACATATTTACAGACTTTAAATATTACATACAGTTGTACCAATTCATTCAAGGCTCAAACCTACCGAACTATACCAGTGAAACAGCTAACAGATTAGTTTGCCTTAAATATTTAATAGTTCATACACTTGACCGAACGCCACAAATTGTGCTGGTATCACTTATAGAATTGATATAAAAATAAAGCCATACTACAAACACCCATTTTCCTAAGTCTTATGAACTCTGATAGGAATTATTATTAAATAAATGACTATTATCTCTGGGGGGCTGGCTTTGGCTTTGGCATCTTGGCTAGGAGCCCTTGTATTTCCTTCTTTTCATCGTAACTCTTCCACATTTCATACAAGTTAATGATGGACCGCACAATCTCTTGAATCTGTAAAAACGGCATGTGTTAAAATAATATAATGATTTCACCTCAAATTATAATATATTTTCTGATAAAACTAACACTTTTTATTACCTTGTCCATATCAACATTCAATTCAGCAAACCAACTCTTTTGGTTTTCATTCCCTAGCATTACACATGCTATGTGTAAAGCAGCTATTGCAATCTGAAAGAATAAAAAAACAACAAAATAAATTATTAAATTTAAACAAAAATAAAATAACCAGAAATAGATGTTAATAGATCTGCAAAATATATCTCATAAATACCTGATATGGTGGGTATAGTAAACTGACATCAGTTCTCAATGAATCATTGACTATTCTCCATGCATAAGTTAGCAATTGGTCATCTTGGCCCATATCTTGAACAAATAAAAGCAGGGGTCTGTATGGCTGATACACTATGAGACAGCAATCCAAGTTCTCCAATAAATAGAATTCACACTCTAGTATGTGGTTAGATCTGTAGGGAAATTCTTGCTGCCCGTATGCATAGCCAAATTTAGTCTTGATTACAGTCTGACAAGTAGTCATTACTCTAGAATTAGAAATTACACCAAATTCTTCGACCTTGGAAGCCAAGAACACGCATGTAGGAGCTAAAAGTAACGGGTCTATGCACTTCAAAGAATTCCTTGCGTAGAACCTCTTGAAGTAAACTGTAGCCGTGGCAATCACCTGCTGTCGCACCTTCAGTTGCTCACCCAATGCTTGTATGATACTCGCAAAGAAATTGAATATTTTCTGATATTCTTCTTCGGTTAGAATATTGAGGTCATGTTGACGGTCTCTGATTAGATCTGTTTTGTCTAGTAACCATTGCTGGTGATGCGAACTTTGCCAAAAATTACCTGCCATTATTTATCTCGTAACGTATAGAAAATAGATTTATCCTTAGAATTAGGTTTTAATGCATGTAAAAATGCAAAAATAGCAGAATCTGAAACGAACGGCGCTACACAAACGTCAACATTAAATGTCAATGACCGACCGAACTGTCAAACTGACATTTGAAATTCGAACTTCTATGTCAGGCAAAGGCATACACACAACTCAGTCATTGAAAAGATGCTAATTAATTTGTTATTAATCTTTTTCGTATTGTATGGTCCCATTAACCATAAAAATTAACATTTTGAAACCTTTATCATCTAAAAATAAGGAAGCGGTCAGAAAACTCCTTCAAAGAAGAGATAACCTTGCTAAATGCTAAAAAATAATTTTGTATTTCGAGCTACGTGCTCACAAGGTGACGACACATGCGGTATCGGCACATTATCTGATTAGAACTGTGTGAAAATATTGACCGTCTAATTTGCCATCAGCTATTGGCTATACATAGACAACAAAGGTAATAAAACAACGGTTTGATAACAAACTTATTAATTTTAATTTGTAACGTTTTACAATCAAGTTTTAACCGGATATATCGGCAAGAGTGAAATCTTTCAGGAAATCGTTAATGGCATCGAATAGTTCTTCGCTGAGCGTCTGGCTCACAGTTTCCAACTGGGATTGGATTACGTCTTGCGTGATACTCTGCACCATAGAGCTGATTAAACTGTTAAGCAGACTCGACCCAAACATACCGTCCATTGAAATCTGAAGCAAGCATTTACTTACATGTTAATTTATTACGAGTAAAATTATAAATATAATTAGTTTATAAAGAAATCACATACATGTGTATCATGGATATCGATTTTGATATCTAGCTCCCTCAAAAACAATTGACCTCCTCCGAAGATATTTGCTCCCAGCCTGACATCAACGCCAACTACCAGTCGGTTTACGAACACCCTGTAAAATAAAATTTTAAAACCAACGGTTGACAATAATACATGACCTAAGTAGTCGTCATTTAAACAGTATATTTTTTTTTATTAATGTTATTTGCTTTAAAACTTCATGTTAATCACAACAACATTTGTGCTCACCTGAAGTTACCGCCAGCGTTATGCGTAAGGAAAGCAATGGAGGCTCGGGCATCGTAACTTCCTGTTAGAGTAAAAAATAATCAGTGGCGTAACTATACCGTTCGAGGCCCGTGGCAAATTCATCGAATGGGCCCTCCCACTTTCCCAATATACAGTGTGAGTCACGTTAAAGTGTACATATGAAAATAGATGAAACTAGACCTATTTTTATCGACAAAAAAGAGGTCAAAATTTTTTTTTGATTTTTTTTTAATTTTTTATAGAATTTTTTTTCTTCCAATTATTTATTGTAAAGAAAACGTAATAACTTTTAAACTAAGCGGTATATCCTGATAAAATAATAACAGTAATAATGCTAAATAACAGGCAATACTAAAAAAATACATAAAATACACAAAACATGCCAACAAATAATAAAAAATGATACTTTTTGAAAAAAATCTTCTTTTAAATTCGTGTTTTTTTTGTTATTTGATAAATTTCTCCAAAAAATGCCCCTATAACCGGTGGTTTTTATTACTTTGTATTATTTTCTATCGTATTACCTTCGCAAAACCAAAANCGGTTTTATTTTTTTAAAAAGTTAATTATTTATGGGAAACTATCAACGGGCAAAAACTGATGACGCGGCATTACGGCGTTGGGCGGATCACAGACGTAAGATTGATGTGGTGTGATAAGATCGATTTTTGTTTGTCTGGTTTTCTTTGTTTGAGACATTATCAGGCCTTCAGCTCTAGCGATTGCCTGTGTCTGTCTGGGAATTTCATATTTGTAGAGCTTTATCTATGTTAGCCTACGTAACAGTCCACATATATCACACAGAATAGTTGTAAAGATTATTGCAAGTAAATCTACTATATAAAAATAAGTCGGGTTTTCCTCCCTGACGCTATAACTCCAGAACGCACGAACCGATTTCCACGGTTTTGCATTCGTTGGAAAGGTCTCGGGCTCCGTGAGGTTTATAGCAAAGAAAATTCGGGAAAAGGGGGTAAAACGGGATCCACGCGTACGAAGTCGCGGGCGGCCGCTAGTAATCACATAAAAAAACTATATCATACGTCAAAAATCTCCATAAAAAGCACCGGTTATCATTATAGTTATGGTTTAAAGTTAGCTGATGTAACTCAGACTAAAAATAAGGTTACAATAAACTTCGTTTAAACGTGCTGTTGTTGTGCACTCAAACAAAACACGGAGCTGTTAAGAAATCAAATCTGAAAACAAATGAGCGGGCGCCACAAAAACAAAAAACAATCGTTTGTATGTTCACACCAGATGCACACGTTTGCCAAAAGTCCCGGCCCGGCAGGTGAGAAGTGTAATGATTCGTCCTTTTGCGCTTTTCGGCTCACTGTTTGTATGATAAGGCTGTGGCTACACATGTATCTTAAACTGGCGTGAATTGCAACTTTAATTACAAGCGAAATATGTCTGTAGATTAGAAATAGATGGCAATAGTAGCCCTGAAAACAGAGTTACTTTTCAACAGGCTGTAAAATTAAACTTTTGGGTGCTTTGAAATCAATATACGTCATCACAGACCCCCTTACCATTAAGCATCTAAAGGAGAGTGTCTGAGTTTCTTGCGCTGCTTCTTCTCAGCCTGGCCCATTTATTGTCCTGAAGCAGTGGTAGGATTAATACTGGGACGTGTAAAAGTGCTTCTTTAAAGCCTATTTACAGAAATAAATGAGTTTTATGAGTTTTTTTAAGAGTTTTTTATGAGATTCGCGTTTTGATAAATTATAAAAAGTATGTTAACACAAGTCTCTTTTCTTGTATGGTGATGTTTTTTAATCTATTTAAAAATAAAAACTCAGTTTAATGTCTGTAAGTCAGTTAAGTAAATTGAACGGAACATCAAATAATTATTTCTTATCATCGAAACGTTTACCTACTGTCAACATCAGTATGCCCACATCCTAACTCCCAGCGAATATTTCACGCACCGGTGCCTTGCCCAAATTATGACGGTCAACTGGCCTTCGTTGGGACAAACGTTGGTAATCAGATGCACAAATATTCGCCTTTAAAGATAAGGCCTTTTGTTGTTGAAGAAGAAACAACGGTTGCTGATAATTGAATAAGCGATGTTGGTAAAGACGGTTTAGAAGCAATAGTTTGATCAATATTATCATGAACTTGTAGAAATTCATAATTTCTTGATTGAATAAATTAATATATTTAGGCTTATTAATGGAGGCGTACTTACACAAATCGTAGTATAGCCTGACCAGGAACATATAAAAACCCTGGCATAGAGGCGCTTCAATTGCATTTGATAGTGCAACACTGAGTACAGTCGTACCTGTGTTAAATTAATAGGCTAACTTTATGTATCAGGATTCAGGATTATGGGCTAATTTGATATTTTCATAAATTAACGAAAAAATATTATTATAGGTAACCTGATTTAAATAAATTAAATGAAACCATCAATCGAGCTAGTAGATTTATTTTATTATTCATCAATAATCAAATTCAGAACTTGAATATTCAACTGCAATGTCTGCTCATGAACGCTTCAAACTCGGTACTTCTTTCCCAATCCCATAAAATTCAACACTTAGAAAGTGACAAAATTTTTAAAATAGGTAGTTGAAACAAACCACAGCTAATTTTCATAGTGGACTGTACTATACGATAAACATGTCAGTCAATTTGACAACCTTTGTCGGAAACATTATTCAATGAAAATATTGTCCGAACCCTTAGTATTTCTCTTCGACAAATACTTTAACACATTGTGAACCACTTTTCTTTGACGACTATAAAAATATTTCAGCAATTTAATTCATAAAACCAATTGCGCACATTTAAAATAAAGTTTGTTTACACTTTGACAGCAATAGACTGACATGCAAGGTGACATGTCAATGAAGTTTTCAGTTACTGTTGCCATTAAAAGAAATTAGTACCATTAGTTTTCCGCAACATGGCGAGGGTTTTTATGTTCCTGGTCAGGCTATAACTATGTCTCTCGCATGCTCTCAAGCCTGATTTTCAGTGTTTAAATTTTTACAAATAGTTTTCAGTGTTCGGTTTAGATATAGAAACTATTTCCCTTAAATAAATGTTTCAATTGCCTTTGATAATCTATACAAATAAAAATGAATTGATGTTCGTTAGTCTGATTAAAACTCGAGAACGGCTGGGCCGATTGAGCTGATTTTGGTTTTAAAATGTTTGTCGTAGTCTAGGGTAGGTCTAAACGGTGAGCAAATACGCGCGCGATATTGTATTTCTGTGACAGACAAAATTCCACGCGGGCGAAGCCGCGGGCGGAAAGCTAGTAATAAATAAATAAATAAAAGCAGCGCTCGTTTCACTTCACTGACTTCTATTATTCAGCATTCCATTCGCAATGAGATCGATACAGACCTGATAACAGCCACAAATCTACTCGGCACAATGGTCAGCGTCTTAGCACAATAGGTGGCAGTTTAAATAAGTCCCGTTGACAAACCGGCTTCCCGTCTGTAGTTAATGTGCCGGACTGTCCGGACATTTAGAACTCCGAGCGTTGGTGGAACCACTGAAATGTAAGAGATAGGTATCGTTAGACACGGCTAAACGTAAACTATTTTATCAATAGGTGTCATTAAAAACATAAACCGCTTAGGCAGAAATAAATCTATTAATGTCATTCAAATAAATAAAATAAAATAAAAGGATAGTGTCAGGGTCTGGACCAAGTGTTGCCTAGAATCAACCGATAGTGCATTTTGTTTTGTTCCTCAGGCCTATACTAATGTGTAAACCGAAGCGCACTGAAATGTATCCCTGGAGTTAAGAGAAAAAAAGAGTTTTGTTTTGAATTATTTACATACAAAATATTATCGATGTATACGTACTACGCATCAGATTTCGCGATTGTGGCATTAAATAACACTCGCTAAGTTGAACTTAATCATATTGCATCCGTACACGTTACTTTAGTACTTTATATATATATATAAAAATGAAACCAGTTTTCCGTTGTCACGACATAACATGAAAACGGCTTGACCGATTTGGCTGATTTTTTTTTGTAGTTTTCTAATACTCTGTACAAGGTTTTTACGGAAAAAATATAAAGAAAATCTCTACGCTAAGGCGGTACGAAGTTCGCCGGGTCAGCTAGTTCTTTATAAACGATCTAGCACTGTTTTAATTAAGAAACTAAAAAACTCTCTCATTAAAAATCATTTATTTCTATAAATAGGCTTAAAAAAAGCACTTTTACACGGCCCAGTATTAACCCTACCACTGCTTCAGGACAATAAATGGGCCAGTGCTGAGAAGAAGCAGCGCGAGAAACTCAGTCACTATTGTCAGCCTCTTTTTCAAAGGTTTACGTGCTTTAAAATGTTCAAAGTTATAAATATATGCGAGCTAGGCAGTAACGTATCCCAAACATTTTTATCTTTTAAATAATCATCGACTTTGTTTGGTAAGTTGACAGAAATTCATTATTTCCAAAATGAAGCAAGCTATAAGACCGCCTAATTGTACCTTATGTGTTCCTTTTCTTTTTGTTCTTTTTATCTGGTGTGCAATAAAGAGTATTTATTATTATTATTATTAAGCAAGAAGTTTTAGTTCTCTATCCTTGCAAAAAGTCAATTTATTTGTGTATTACAATTGATTATTAAAGTTATTTTAAGCTAAAACTTCTTGCTCCATTTTGGAAATAATTAATTTCTGTCAGTCAACTCACCAAACTGTCGAAGTCGTACTAAAGTAAGGTGTACGGATGCAGTATGGTTAAGTTCAACATAGCGAGTGTTATTTAATGCCAAAATCGCGAAATCTTATGCGTAGTACGTATACATCGATGATATTTTGTATGTAAATATTTCAAAACAAAACTTTTTTTCTCTTAACTCCAGGAATAGATTCCAGTGCGCTCCGGTTTGCAAATTAGTATTGGCCTGAGGAACAAAATGCACTATGGTTTGATTCTGGGCAGCACTTGGTCCAACTTCCATACATGAATTGGCACTGTCCTTTCTCCGCTCCGTTCCGCCGCAGTGGAAACCGGGCTCTAGGTGCTCTAAAGATGTTATTTTTGTCAGCTACTTAGTTGCATTTGGTTAAATTAATTTCTGTAAGAATTAAATATACTCGTATGTTTAACTTTATGAAGGAATTCACTATATGTATATCAACAGCTGATGGATAAATGGAAATTAGTAACTAAACTCACATTGTAAATTCAAATTACAATGTGACTAAATTAAACTTCTTTTTATCTACTTCATTTCTAATCTTTTTAAAGTCTACGCCTCAATATTCCTTAGCCACTGTCGATTGCTGACGACCGTCCTTACATTGTCTCCAAAGGTCCACACTCCCTATAGGGACCCGTGGTCTTATTACATCAACTCGATGGCGACGTCGACCACTGTCAGCACAAAATTAGGCACACACAATATTCCTCTGATTTAAAAATTCTGGTCACAGTGTTTGTAAAAAAACTCCCCCGAAATGACTTGACCGATTCTTATGAAATTGTGTGTATATTCAGTAGGTCTTTGAATAGGACGTCAACTATTTTTCATACCCCTAGTTGAAAAACAACGTTTTTTGGGTCAGCTAGCTAGTTTATATTACTCGAGTGAGCATGTGTGAAGAGTAATCCATCTTCGAAGTCCATCATCAATAGAGACTATTTTACAAAGCCACATCTTTGCCAAAGCTACCATAGCAATGCCTACTGTAAAGTTTATATCAACTGGTCGCTTTTCCCTCACGTAATACCACCAGAATCTCCCCACAGGGTCGGACCGAGACAAAAGAATCACCCCACATTGGTCATTCAGTAATGTCCGACTCACTATTTGTCTTCTGGATTAACTTGCTTATCGCCGCTGTACGGTTTTGGGAAAAGTACTATTACTTTTGGAATGAAATATCGTGGCCATAGGCTGGAAGCTTATTCAGCATAAATTTACACTATCGAATTGGCTGGTTTATCGTTCAATAGATTTCGGACAATAGCTAGACTAAGTAATACCTACCGTAGGAAGGTCAGAATATAAAGTAAACGAGGTTTGTAAATGTTCACAAGCTTTAGGTTATTATGCTTACCTAAGTTCTCACTTAGGTTAAACTTAAAGAGAAGTCGTGAGTACCAACTCTAGATTTACATGGATAATATCAAATGAAAATTTTCGTTTACAGAGACGAACTTGTTGTAGTAATAGGTAAGGTACTTACAAATACATATTTGTTCTTATAAATGTTAAAAATTCTTCCAAGAATACAGAGGACTTATTATCATCAGTTTAGCTGTCCAAAAGATTTCGACGTAAGTACCCCAAAAGAACATATTTTATAATATTTATATGCTATTACAACTTAAATTCGGAAACTTACATAAGTGTACTTGATAAATTAATGTACGCTGACTAAGAGGTCTGATTCCAAACTTACACGTATGTTTGCACAAATACAGAGTACCTCAACAATGGGTAGACAATATCGAAGGCAAACAATTAGAGGTACGATAGAAGGGTGCCGATTAAGTTACACATACGGGCATAGGGCAAGCTGACTAAGGAAGATTAAGATTCATGGAGGCCCTTAAACAAACATAGGCCCGATGTCTTACGATGTTTGGCCAAGGTATGTTAATTTAGTATTCACCCCCGTTCAATATTAATATTATGGGACAATGCTGCGTGGGATGGAAATGTGGGACTAGCTCTCGTTTGATTCGGGAAATCCGTTCGGTGAAAATCAGTTTTAAGAAGAATTGGATTAGAATTACCTATTATGTCGAGATATCGTCATTAGTTAACATGATACGAAATTCTTTTTCATATGGCTCTCTCTTATTCGTCTCTTATTTTAACGTCTACTTAGACTGAAGATTTTTCGTTAAGAACAGCATAATCGTTTGTGCGCTTGGTTTAGTATCTGTACGTCCCTTTTTCTGTAAGCAGTCTAAAAATTGAGACATCTTATTCGGCCTTTGCAATCTGATGAGCAGACGCTCTACTGAAATTTTCATTATCTTGATTACTCTATGGAGTTGTTAACTTTTACCGGCGTATCCTCACAAGTGTGAAGTTACGTTTTCTTCGCATAGGTACAATTTGCGGTAACAAACAAGGGGAGGTCTCCGCTAATGTCCTCTGCCCGCCTCCGGGCAATCCGCGCACTGACCGCCGTCCTGGGCCACTATTAAAGTGCTAAGAGGGGCATTATGGACCCTCTGGGGCCCTGTCAGCCGAATAACTTAATGTCTTAATTGACCGCCCTCTTTGCGGTCAATTGGGAGTGCATTTGGAGATGATGCTGCATGATATTGGGGGATTTTTTTAACAGATTTAAAAAAAGAGGAGGGAAGTTTAAAAAATCGAGACGGGATTCGCTCTTTTTTCGCTATCTGGCAGCAATATGACTGCTTGTCTGTGAACCATGTTAAAGCATGTAATATATGAACTCAAGTGCGATAAAGGATTTTGAAGCATAATATCACTGGAAAGAGTTTGACTTCTTCTCTGAATACAAATCTAGACTTTTAATTAAAGAAGACTACAATTACATCGATTCATTTGTTTTCTTTTTAAAGTGAGAATAAGGTGTCGGAATTCCTGATTACTCTGCCCCAATTCCCTCTAAACTCAGTCTCTCCAAATTAAACGCACATCTTAGTTTTTACGGTTCATCGCCGGTTATTCCCAGAATTCCCCTCGTGTTCAACAGTCGTGACGAATCGCACCCGTAAACTCCACACTTACATGTGACTTGAGAACTCTTGCGCAATTAAACGTAATGTTCATTGCTACTGTTTATAAGAAGGGAGGTTCTTTATTTGCCGCGTTAGGAAGATATGTGTTTCATTACCTGTGTGTTTGCTGGTTAATTGTATGATTGTAGATGTTTTGTATCGTTTCTTAACTGTTTCTTTGTTCAAATTACATTTTATTAATAAGAGTAGAGACTTTGGAGATAAATTAAGAATATATTAATTTTGATGTCTTTTTTATCGATTCTTTTTACACTCTGGATAGTAGATATAGTGATTATGATATTTAAGAATCAAACGAACTTACCTGTGATGTTTGATATCTAATTATACGAGTGTCTTGACCGAAGATGATTACGTTTTACATGCAGCAGTACCTGGGATGACGCCGTCCTTATCACACTTTTAGAGAATATTTATTTAAAAATATAAGTTTTAAATATAATAAAGTACGTGTTTTGACTCCTCAGCACCGTAGTACATTCCGCGGTCGCCATATTTCTTGTCATTATTTTAGAGCAAATTTTTTCGATCGGTTAAGGGTAATTATTCTCGGGTGAGGTGGGACTGTAATCATCTTCGGTCAAGACACTCGTATAATTAGATATCAAACATCACAGGTAAGTTCGTTTGATTCTTAATTATACTTCGTATCTCTCCCGAAGATGATTACGTTTTACATGCAGATGTTTAGAGCATCGAAAAAATTACAACCGTAGAAACTATTAACTTGTTCAAGGTATTTTAGTAAATAAACAAAACATTGTTTACTTTCGTAATAATTAATGATGGTTTTG